TCAAACGTGACGTCCTGAGAGGACAGAACACGACGTGAGGTGGGGTGGTAAAACTGCCACCCAGGTACGTCAGGGGGGAAGCCAAGGAAGACGCAGGGAACGGCACGGGAGGACAGCTTGTCCACGGAAGTATCGCGGACAAAAGCTCGAGATCCCCAGACACGGAACACAGACGCATCGCCAACCTTCCCCGTCCACCGCAGAGTAGGTGTGGTCTTCGGCAAGGAGACACGAGGCTGAAGGTTGATCTGATGCGCAGCGTACGGAACCGCGAACGTCCACAGAAAATGGGGAGCAGCCGCATGGATCATGGACGTACGAGCGACGTCCATGACCATGCCAATGCGGTGCTCAGCAATCCCATTTTGCTGCGGGGAGGCCGGAAGCGTGAACGTCTGGCGGATGCCCTCCGCACGACAGAAAGCCCTCAGAAGGTCGGAGGAAAGCTCACCACCTCTGTCTGAGTGCAGACGCAGGACAGGAAGGTCCGAGCCGAATCTCTCGCTGAGCTGGCGACGGGCACCACGGATCCAGTCGATCAACACGTCAGTGACCTCACCCTTGCGGCGCAAGGGGAAGACTGTGGTGTAACGCGAGTAGTCGTCAACGACCAGCAGGAAGTAACGCTCGTGACCCTGTCCACGGACGCGGGCTGGGCCCCACACATCCATGTGGAGAGTCTGCAGGGTAGCCTCTGTAGGAGGGAACTCGGAGGAGTGAGGAGCGGCGCGCTGCCGGCCTTCGACACAAGGAACACAGGTAGGGGCAGGCTCCGGAGGAAGGGGAGGGAGGGACCGGGGAAGACTAGAGACAAGGGTACGGGAGGCCATGCCTCGAAGACGAGGCAGGGAGGGGTGACCAAGGCGGTGGTGCCAAAGGAGAGTCTCGTGTGACAGAGGACGACACGAGCAGGGGGCAGACGCTGGACTAGACCTGGACGCGGCAGCAAACACCTGACCAGACGCGGCTACCTGACCAGACGCAGTAACCGGAGGAGACGCAGTAGTCAGTGTGTACAGACTCGACCCAGGCCGACGGGTGAACGTGGCCAGGTGGCGGCCCGTCCGAGAGCAAGTGCAGTGGGTCACACGCTGACCTCCAGGGGTGAACTGGTCAACCCACACGTCCTGGAGGTCAGCTCCACTCACCAAGTTCGTAGAGAACGAGGGGAGGTGGAGTCCCGACAACAAGCCCGACGGAGCCGCAGGACTTGGTAGAACCGTAGAAGAGTGCGCAAGGACTGGGCCCCCAGAGGGGTCAGCCAGGGAGACTGCGACAGGCCGACTGAGCGGCGTGAGCGTGGTGCTGTCACAAAAGAAGGAGCGCGAAGCACCAGAGTCAAGTGTGAAAGTGTGCAAGGCCTCAGTAGGTGCAGGACTAGAGAGAGCAGACTCACCAGCACCTGGAGCAGCAGACGCACTAGTACCTGGAGCAGCAGACTCACTAGTACCTGGAGCAGCAGACTCACTAGCACCTAGAGCAGCAGCCTCAATGCCTGGGTCGGGCGGAACACACAGGTAACAGTCACTCTCAGCACTATCAGTCGCAGCATACATGGCAGCAAGCATAGCATCGAAATCAAGATGAAAGATAGCAACATTCTGCTTAAGCAGATCACCCCAGCGCGGGAGCTCAACAGCGTCAGGAAACTGGGCGCGCCAGGCGTCAGTCAGGCGACCGAAGTAGCGCTGCGTAGTGTGTGGCAGCCCGCACGTCTCCCCACGGCGCCCGCTGGTGCGAAGAACGTAAGCGCAGGGACCAACACCCCCAAACCTCCCACGCCCAGCGTACCACTCACGAAGCTGCTGGGCCGACGGGGTCTCACGGGAACGCGGCTGCGGCTGGCGCTGGCTACCACCAAAGCCTCCACGCTGCGCGGCTCCACCTCGACCAGCACCACCGCCGCCGCCACCTCCACCACCGCTGCCGCTGCCTCCACCGCCGCTGCCGCTGCCTCCACCACCCCCACCGCCGCCACCGAAGCCCCCACTCCCGCCACCACCCCCACCTCTACCGCCACCCCCTCCGCCTCCTCCACCGCCTCCACCGCCGCCCCCACCGTCCCCTCCACCACCCTTGCCCCCCTTGCCCTTGCTGTTGCGACGCCTCCCACTAGGAGCAGACGCAGCCCCGACCTCCCCAGTGCCAACGAGGTCGACAGCAGCAGCAGAAGCAATAGAGGGGAGAAGGGGGACAAGGGAACACCCCTCAAAGAAAGGGGTGCGACGGTCGCCGCGAGAAGCACCTACAGCAATGATACTCTTCTCAGCTGCAGTGAGGCGCTCCTCTAGCAGGTCGACGGTGAGCTCGGTGGGGCAAAGGGAGAGAAAGTGGTCCCTGACTGAAGCAAGGGAGTCAGGGAGGCGGGTAACTAGGTAGTAAAGGTTGATGTACATTGGGGGGGGGGTTCTTGGCACAGAACTCAGTGGGAAGCGCAGCGCGGTAGCGGGCGTCACTAGTGCGGAGGTGAGCAGTGAGGTCAGCGAGTGTGGCAAAGGGGGCAAGGTCAGGGAAAAGGTACGGCAGCATGAGGCGGGTGAGGGCAGCAGTGGCAGGGGAGGAGTGGCGCACTACGACAGCGTCATACAAAGACTTAGCAGTCTTGTACTGGCCAAAGTGCGCGCGCTCAGCAGACGGCTGGTGACTACGAACAGCAAGGCGAGCAACAGCGTCACGAGTGGTCCACTGCGAGCAAACCGTACTGTCAGCAGTGGCAGCAGGTGCAGGAGAGACACCGGACGTGTGATCGAAAAGGGATACTCCGTCCTTAGAGTCACACTGAAGAAAGAGCTGCAGGTCGTCAACCCACACGTCAAAGTAAACCGCACGCCCCTCAGCATCAAAGGTAAGAACATTAGGGCTAGCCATAGCGGCAGTAGCAGCAGTAGCAGCAGTGGCAGCAGAAGCAGCAATAGCAGCAGGAGCAGCGCGGGCAGGGCAGTGCAGCTCAGTAGGGCGGCGCTGCTCGGCAGGGCGGCGCGGCTCGGTAGGGCGGCGCGGCTCGGTAGGGCGGCACGGCTCGGCTGGGCGGCGCGACTCGGCTCCTGGCGGCGCGGCACGGCAGGGCGGCGCGGCTCGGAGGAGCGGCGCGGCTCGGCTGGGCGGCGCGGGTGCTTACCAGGGGCGGGTGCAGGGCAGGGCCGCAGCTGGCGGCTAGGTCAGGGCCACGACTGGGGCGGCTGCAGGGCAGGGCCGCTACTTTGCGGCGGTAGAGCAGGGCCGCGATTGGGGCGGCTGAAGGGCAGGGCCGCAACGCGTCGGCGGCAGCGCAAGGCCGAAACAGGGCCGCGGCTGGACGGCAGGGTAGGGCAGGGCCGCGACGAGCAGCGGCAGGGCACAGGCCGCGGCGGGCGGCAAGGTCGGGGCCGCGACGAGGCGGCGAGAGGGCAAGGCCGCGACGGGCCGAGAAGGCAGGGCCGCGACGGGCGGCACTAGACCAGGGCGCGCGACGGCGCAGGTGAGGCAGGCGCGAGGCGCGCTTCAGGCAGGGCAGGAAAAAAAAATGTTATCGTGGTGGGCCCTAAAAAAAACGTTCCCACGAGGGAACCTGCTCAGAATACCATGTCAGAATAGTTAAGGAAGAAAATGACTGAACTAGCAAGCAGGTGGGTACAAGTAGGAAACCTAAAAGTGTTGCACCCTATATGAACTACCCCACTACAGCCTAGACAGACTATAGCATATAAGTTTGACACACCCCCATAGGCAAAGTGGGGGAGAACAAGTGGTCACAAGACCAGTCAGGAAAGGCAAAGCAAGCTCAGGGTGGATCACGACGTCACCACAAGGCCAGTTCACATGCAGAGTTATATAAAGGAGAACAAGCAATACAGTGAACACAACCTAGCAAGTGTAAGCATACAGGCATATGTATAGAGATCACAGTACAAGAAGAGTCAAGAAGTAAGCAAGTGAGGCACAGTAGGTACAAGGCCTAGAACAGTACAGAAACGCTGACGATCACAAGGCTGAAGTGCCTTGGTGAAAACATAAGCAAGACGAAGCTGACCACGCTGCTGCAAATCTCGAGCAAGGAAGTATCGAAGAGCGATGTGCTTCGTTCGGTGCTCCAGCCTGTGCTCCTGACACAAGGCAATCATGGCCTTGTTGTCTACGTACAGAACTGGAGGTGAACGAGGCTCCTCTCCCAAGTCAGTCAGCAGGTAGGTGAGCCAGCGTAGCTCCTGTGCAGCCATGGCCCCGGCGTAGATTTCAGCCTCACAACTGGAGCTGAGAACCGAAGACGAGCGGGTAGACCGCCAGGAAACAGAGCCGGAGCCAAGGCTGAAGGTGTAACCCTGTGACGACCGCTGCATAGCTGAGTCGTCAACCCAGGAAGCGTCTGCGTGACCGGTGAGGACAACTGGACCCCGTCCTCCAAGCACGAGCCCCATCCCTGACGCACTGCACAAGTAGCGCAGTACCCTCTTCGCAGCATCCCAGTGCACCTTTCGGTGCCTACCGGGAGCCACGTAGCGAGCCAGAAGGCTGAGAGGGTACGCAAGGTCAGGTAGAGTGCACTTCATCAGATACATGAGGCAACCCACAAGCTCTGGGTACGGACCACTCGGCTCTACGGACTCGTCCGAAGGTGGAGCTGAGAGCAAGTGGCTGGTAGACAGAGGAGTGGGCTGTGGCGAGGAGAACTGGAAGCCAAGGTGCACCATGTGTGACTGAGTCAGGGTAATGATGCGCCGAGCTTTGTCCCGGGTGATCTGCAAGCCAAGATAGCTGCGCAGTTCACCCAGGTCAGTGCAGGTGTGTCTGTTCTGCAGCTCCGACTTCACAAGGATCAGTGCCTCAGTGTAAGCAGTGGCAAAGACTAGATCGTCGACGTAGACAAGGACGTAGAACAGCGGCAGCGAGGTGTCGGTGCGTAGAAGTAGCGACGGGTCAGCAGTAGCAGGAGCAAACCCAAGAGCTGCAAGTGTAGTCCTCAGTGTGTCGTGCCACTCGCGAGGCACTTGGCGGAGACCATAGACTGGCCGGCGGAGGCTCCACTAAGTACCTGCAGGGAACGTCCCAAGGAAACCAGGTGGTCGGCGCAGCCAGATCTCCTCGAGCAGGCTGCCCTGCAGGAAGGCTGTACTGAAGTCCAGGAAAGCAACTCGTAGTCACGCTGAGCAGCGACGTGCAGCAACACCCAAAGAGTAGTCATCTTCAGGGTGGGGGAGAAGGTCTGGAAGTAGTCAACTCCCTGTCGCTGATCGAAGCCTCGAGCAACGTAACGCGCCTTGAAGGCAGCCGGAGAACCCGGCGGCCGCTTCACCCTGAAGATCCACATGCCATCGACAATGTCCGCCCCAAGTGGGGGAACCTCGTCGACGTAGGTGCCTGTGGACTTCCAGTATGCCATCTCGGCATCCATGGCTGCCTGCCACTGAGAGGAGTAAGGACCCATAATCGCCTCTGCGTAAGAGCGCGGGGTCGGGATGTCTGGAGCATCCGGGTCTCCCTCAGGGGCAAGCAGCATGGAAGCGAAACGAGGTACAGCAGCTGCAAGACACTCAAAGTCCTCCTGCCTGTCCTCAACGATGTCTGTGCCAAGAGCACACTCACCCCCGATGGACGGAGGACTGGTAGACGCAGACTCAACAACGAGAGCAGTGGTGTAGTCTAGACGGCAGGCAGCAGCAAAGTCAAGCAGCTCAGCATCGAGAGCAGACACACCAGCAGACTCAAACGAAGGGTCAGTGACAGCAGTGGCGAGGAGATGAGAGACAATGGGACTGGCAACACGAGCACGGTCAGACTCAGGGTCAGGGACCTCAGGAAGAGAGGATACAGGAGGAGCAAGCAGAGGAACACGCAGGGGAACAGAGGAAGAACGAAGGGTCATGGCGTGCGTGCCAGGGACAGGAGGAGGACGCGAACGAGGAACATGACGAGCAGTGCGAACAGGCAAGACAGGACGAGACGCAGGCTCACGACGCTCTGTAAGACCGTCGGACTGCTCAGTGTAAGGAGAAGGAGCAGACATTGGAGAGGCCGGCTGTAACGGCGGCTGCAACTGGTCAGGCGGGGGACACAGGAGGGGAGGAGTAAGGTCAGTAGAAGACGGGGTACTTAGAACCTGCTGAAGGAGGGGAACGAAGTACGGTCGCGGCCGCACAGTGCCACCAGGGTCAATAGCAGCAGCTCCTCCAGCTCCAGCACCTCCAACACCAGGGCCTCCAACTCCAGCGTCTCCTGCGCCAATGCCTCCAGCTCCAGCTCCTCCAGCTCCAGCGCCACCAGCGCCAGAGCCACCAGTACCAGTAGATCTAGACTCCGTAGGGTCACCAGCTCCAGCACCCTCAACACCACCAGTCCCGGCAGCTCCAGTACCCCGGATACGAGCACCTCCAGGACCAGTGGCCGCAGTACCACCAGTAACACCAGCTCCAGCAGCAACTCCAGCACCTCCAGCTCCAGCAGCTCCAGAACCTCTAGCTCTGGTAGCCCCACTCCAAAGGCGTGCACGCCGAACAAGCCATTCACGCAGCTGCTGCGAAGACAGTCTCGGCGAAGCACCTGCAGAACCTCCAGACGAAGCAGCACCCTGAGGCTCAGCACCTCCAGACTCCGCACCCTCCAACGCAGCACCCCCAGGCTCAACACCCTCAGGCTCACCACCCCCAGGCTCAGCACCCCCAGTCTCAACACCCCCATGCTCAGCACCCCCAGTCTCAACACCCTCAGACTCCGCACCCCCAGGCTCCGCACCCCCAGACGCAGCACCCCCAGACACAGCACCTCTAGCAGTACGTGAGCCGACAGCTACCTGAACGGGCGCAGGACCAAGGAGAGGGTCTACCTGAGACACACCTGAGGGAGCAGGACCCTGGGGCGGGAGGGGGTCTACCGGAGGAAGACCGGGAGCAAGGAAGAGCGGCGGGGGCGGGGGAGGGGCAGAGCGGTAGGGGAAGAGACGGTAAAAGGGAACCAACTCGTCAAAAGTGACGTCCTGAGAGGGGAAGACATGGCGCGAGGTGGGGTGGTAAAACTGCCAGCCCGGCGCGTCAGGGACAAAGCCAAGGAAGATGCAGGGGATAGCACAGGCGGAGAGCTTGCCCGCGGATGTATCGCGAACAAAGGCACGAGATCCCCAGACCCGGAACACCGACGCATCGCCAACCTCCCCCGTCCAACGCAGTGTGGGCGAGGTCTTCGGCAAGGAGACACGGGGCCAGAGGTTGAGCTGATGCGCAGCGTACCGGACCGCAAACGGCCACAGAAAATGGGGAGCAGCTCCATGGATCATGGAGGTACGAGCGACCTCCATGACTAAGTCAATGCAGCACTCAGCAATCCCATTTTGCTGAGGGGAGTCCGGAAGCGTGAACGACTGGAGAATGCCCTCCCCACGACAAAAGTCCCGCAAGAGGTTGGCAGAGAACTCACCACCTCTGTCAGAGTGCAGACGCATGACACGAAGGTCCTGGCCGAAGCGCTTGCGGAGCTGGTGACGGACCGTGCGGATCCAAGGGATCAAGACATCAGGGACCTGACCCTTGCTGCGCAAGGAGAAAACCGTGGTGTACCGCGTGTAGTAGTCAACGACCAGCAGAAAGTAGCGCTCGCGGCTCTGTCCACTGACGCGGGCTAGGCCCCACACGTCCATGTGGAGAGTCTGCAGGGGAGCAGTCGTCGGGGGAAACGAGGAGGAGTGAGGAGCGGCGCGCTGCCGCCCCTCGACGCAAGGAAGGCAGGGTGGGGCAGGCGAGGGCGGCAGGGGAGGTTGGGACCTGGGAAGACCAGAGACAAGAAGACGAGAGTGCATGCCACGAAGGCGTGGCAGGAAGGGGTGACCCAGGCGGTGGTGCCACAGAAGAGTCTGGTGCGACAGGAGGCGACACGAGCAAGAGGCGACACGAGCAAGAGGCGGCTACCTGGCCTGACGCGGACACCTGAGCAGACACAACTACCTGAGGAGGCTCGGTAGCGAGTGTGTACAGACTCGACCCTGGCCGACGAGTGAACGTGGCCAGGTGACGCCCCGTCTGTGTGCACGTGTAGATCGTCACACGCTGACCCCCAGGAGTGGTGGTAGTGACCATCGCATCCTGGAGGGCAGCGGTACTCACCAAGTTCGCAGAGAACGAGGGGAGGTGAAGACCGGACAGTGAGCCGGACGGAACTGCCGAACACGGGAGGACTCCGGAGGAACGGGCCACTACCGGTCCCCCGGAGGGGTCAGCCAGTCTGACCGGGACAGGTGCAGGGAGAGGAGTGAGAGTGGTGCTGTCACAAAAGAAACAGCGCGAGGCGCCTGAGTCCAACGTGAAGGTGTGCAAGGCCTCAGCAGGCGCAGTACCAGGGAGAGTACCAGACTCACTAGCACTTAGAGCAGCAGCGGCTATACCAGGGTCAGGTGGCACACACCGGTAACAGTCACCCTCAGCACTAACAGACAAAGCATACATAGCAGTAAGGATAACATCAAAGTCTAGGTGAAAGATAGCAACTCCAGACCTAAGCAGATCTGCCCTGCGAGGGCGCTCGACCTTGTCACCAAACTTAGCTCGCCAAGCGTCGTCGAGACGGGAGAAGCAGCGGTGCTGAGTGTGCGCCTTCCCGCATGTCTGACCAGCACCGTCACCCGTGCGACTGACATACGGGCAGCTCACACTATCCCCAGACGCCCCACGCTGAAACAACCACTAACGAAGCTGCTGGGGCGACGGGGTCTCGCTCCGACGTGCAGCTGCTGACGCTGGCCACCTCCAGAATCAACACGCCGAGCGCCAGTCCCACCGCCACCAGTCCCACTTCCGCCACTACCGCCACTCCCACCACTGCCTCCACCACCGCCACCAGAGCCCCCACTCCCTCCACCAGTCCCACCGCCGCCACCACCTCCACTGCTGCCCCCACCACTACTCCCGCTACCACCTCCACCACCACCGCCACCTCCACCACCCTTGCCACCCTTGCCCTTGCTGCTGTGGCACTTCGCAATAGCAGAAGCAGCCCCGACGTCCTTAGCAATAGAGACGTCTGCAGCAGCAGAGGCGTAGGAGGGGGCAAGGGGGGAGGGGGAGCACCCCTCAAAGGAGGGGGAGCACCCCTCAAAGAGGTGCGGAGTGCCACGAGCAGCAACTACAGCAACTGCACTAGTCTCAGCTGCAAGGAGATGCTGCTCGAGGAGGTCAACAGTGAGGGAGGTGGGGTCAAGAGAGAGGAAGTGGTCCCTGACAGAGCGAAGAGAGTCAGGGAGGCGAGTGACTATGAAGTAGAGAATGATGAACATCGGGGGCTGGTTCTTGTCAAGGAACTCTGCAGGGACGGCAACACGGTAGCGAGCGTCGCTAGCGCGAATGTGGGAAACTAGGCCCTCGACTGTGGCAAAGGCGGATAGGTCGGGGAACAGGTAGGGCAGAAGTCGGCGGCCTAGAGCAGCAGTGGCAGGGGAGGAGTAGCGAGCGACTACAGCGTCGTACAGTGCCTGTGCGGTCCTGTGCTGTCCTAAGTGAGCGCATTCAGCTAACGGCAGGTGGTTGCGAATGGCTAAGCGGGCAGCAGCGTCGCGAGAAAGCCACTGTGAGCGAGTCGCACCGTCAGCTGTGGTGGGAGGGGCAGCAGCGGCACCGGACACGTGGTCAAACAGGGAAACACCGTCCTTAATATCGCTAAAGAGGTACAGCTGCAGGTCGTCGAGCCACGTGTCAAACTGAACCGGTCTACCCTCATGATCGAATGCGAGAAACCGAAGCGAGGCCATAGCTATGCAATCGGCAGGAGCAGCAGAAGCAGTAGTAGAAGCTGTAGTAGTAGCAGCAGTAGTGACAATAAGGAGAAGGGGCCGAGGGGCCTGGGGCCTAGGGGCCAACTAGGCCGGGCGCGCGGACTAGGGGTCAACGGGGCCGGGCGCGGGGCTAGGGGTTGACGGGGGGAGGGGCCGGGCGCGGGGCTAGTGGTCGACGGGGGGGGGGGGGGGGGGGGGCGGGCGCGGGGCTAGGGGTGACGGGGCCGGGCGCGGGGCTAGGGGTCGACGGGAGGGGCCGAGCGCAAGCTAGGGGTCGACGGGCCGGGCGCGGGCTAGGGGTCGACGAGGTCTTAGCGCGGGCTAGGGGCGACGGGGCCGGGCGCTGGGCTAGGAGTCGACCGGGACCGAGTGCGGGCTTGGGGCGACGGGGCCGGGCGCGGGGCTAGGGGTCGACGGGGGGCCGAGAGCGGGCTAGTGGTCGACGGGCCGGGCGCGGGCTTGGGGTCGACGGGGCCGGGCGCGGGGCTTGTGAAGAAAGTGGAAAAATGGATGAACTAGAACAAGGTTGGGTACAAGTAGGAAACCCTAGGAAACTGTACCCTTTAGTGTCTACCCCACTATAGCCTAGACAAGCTATATGATGAATGTTTGACACACCCCCATAGGCAAAGTGGGGGAGAACAAGAGGTCACAAGACCTGTCAAGCAAAGCACAGCAAGCTCAGGGTGGATCACAACGTCACCACACATTCCGAGCACAAGTTCAAAGGCCACAAGGCCAGTTCACATGCAGGATTATATATATAGAAAGGTAAACATGCAAGTGCATGTATATATATATATATCACAGTACAAGCAAAGTCAAGACGTGAGCAAGTGAGGCCAAGTAGGCACAAGACCTAACATAGTACAGAAGCGCTGATGATCACAAGGCTGAAGTGCCTTGGTGAAGATATCAGCAGTGTTGGCCCAAGAGGCCACGTAAGCAAGGCGCAGCTGACCACGCTGCTGCAGCTCACGAGCAAGGAAGTAGCGAAGAGCAATGTGCTTCGTTCTGTGCTCCAGTCTGTGCTCCCGACACAAGGCCAGCATGGCCTTGTTGTCTACGTACAGAACTAGAGGAGAACGAGGCGGCTCTCCCAGGTCAGTCAGCAGGTAGGTGAGCCAGCGTAACTCCTGTGCAGCCATGGCCCCTGCGTAGATCTCAGCCTCACAACTGGAGCTGAGAACAGAAGACGAGCGGGTAGACCGCCAGGAAACAGAGCCGGAACCAAGGCTGAAGGTGTAACCCTGTGACGACCGCTGCGTAGCCAGGTCGTCAACCCAAGACGCGTCTGCGTGACCAGTGAGGACCACTGGACCCCGCCCTCCAAGCACTAGCCCCATGCCCGACGTACTGCACAAGTAGCGCAACACCCTCTTCGCTGCAGCCATGTGCTCTGGTCGGTGTCTCCCAGGAGCAACATAGCGTGCCAAGATGCTAAGAGGGTATGCCAGGTCAGGTCGAGTGCAGGTCATCAGGTACATGAGGCAGCCAACAAGCTCTGGGTATGGGCCACTCGGCTCTACGGACTCATCCGAAGGCAGAGCTGAGAGCGAGTGGCGAGTAGACAGAGGAGTGGCCTGAGGCGAGGAGTACGTGAAGTCGAAGCGCTGAAGGACCTGCTGCACCATGTGTGACTGAGTCAGGGTAATGGTGCGCCGAGCTCTGTCCCGGGTGATCTGCAAGCCAAGATAGCTTGTCAGTTCACCCAGGTCTGTGCAAGTGTGTCTCTTCTGTAGCTCGGACTTCACGTGGGCAAGTCCAGCAGTGTCAGCAGTAGCAAAGACCAAGTCGTCGACGTACACGAGGATGTAGAACGGCGGCAGCAAAGTGTCGGTGCGCAGATTCAGCGACGGGTCAGCAGTAGAAGGAGCAAACCCAAGATCCACAAGCGTAGTCCTCAGTGTGTCGTGCCACTCACGGGGCGCCTGGCGGAGACCGTAGACTGGCCGCCGGAGGCTCCACTGGGTACCAGCAGGAAACGACCCAGTGAAGCCAGGTGGGCGGCGCAGCCAGATCTCCTCGTGCA